AGTGGCGCTGTGGCTCAAGTGGTAGAGTGCTAGCCTTGAGCTGAAGAGCTGAGGGACAGCGCCCAGGCCCAGAGTTCAGGCCCCACAACCGGACCCCCCCCCAAAAAAAAAGATTCAAGGCCCTAACTGGGAGCCAGTGGCTCATGTCTATAATCCTAGTTACTCAGGAAGCTAAGATCTTGAAGATCATAGTTGAAAGCCAGCTTGGACAGAAAAGACCATGGGACTTTTATCCCCAATTAATCATTAAAACACACACACCCACACACACACACGTACACACATGAATACATGCACACAAACACAAAAGCTGGAAGTGAAGCTGTGGCTCAGGTGGTAGAGTGTTAGCCTTGGGTATGAATGCTCAAGGACAGTGCCGAGGCCAGGAGTTTAAGCCCCAGGACTGGCACAAAAACAAAAACAAAATGAACAAAAAAACCAACAGAATCTCAAGCCTTGCATCAACAGGAGGCTATATGGTGTCCTGGAAAGCAGTCTTAGGAGACTGGACTGGGTCTCGGTGTCATTACCAGATTGCTATGTGAAGTACAGCCTTTTACCCTCCAGGCTTCCTTGAGAGAATAAGCCCTGCATTCAGCAGGTATCCAAAAAAAGTCTGCCAAATGGACAACTTTTCAGGGTTGTCCAAATATCTTGCCATTTTAATTGTGCTTGTTTCAAGTTGTAGCAACAGATGACTGCAGTATCTCCAAGTAGGACTTCATCATGCTGTTTGGCTAGTTTGCTTTGCAAGTGGATTCAGGAGCCCAGAGAAGCTCTTTCCCAAACCCTTCATCACCAGGGTACTTATTTGGGAATGCTGAATCTCATGCTCAGAGCCTCCCTGAAGTAGTGAGGCAGGAGCACTGTTTGAACACACCAGGGCCAGGGAAAGGACTGACGCAGGCCATGGTGCAGATGACCAGTGAGAAGGTCAGGGGCCAGGTCTGATTCCATCCTGGGGAAGTGAGTGAAATCTGAGAGGAAGGGGCTTCTATCCCGGAGAACTGCTCTCAAACCAACAAACAGGACTCTCCTGGCAATGGTCTCATAACAAAAGGGCAGAGTTTCAATGATTCCACAGGAACCTGGGATCAGGGCAAATTTCAAGCAAGGGAAGCAAACTGCTTGGGCAGTTCCTGGAGTCAGACAGGAGCCAAGCTACCGCTGCCAAAGAATGGAGGCAAAAACATTCCAGAGATGGTTTTGCAATAAACATAGAAGGTAAATAAGCACACAGAGTGATCCCAGGGGCCCAGACAGATTTCCCATGCAGTGACCATGCAAACAGAGGAGAAAATCATGACTGCTGTCCCTCAGAAACACCTGCAGGCACAGACTTCTTGGTGCATGAGCCCTTTCCCCTCACCACTCACTTGGTGACCACAGCAATCTTGACTCCAAAGACCCCTGTCTGTTTGCGGGAAGGCATTCTCTTCAAGCTGAACTCACGGCTTGTGAACTTGACAGAGAGTTTGACTTCAATCTGCAGGGGGAACAAAAGACAGAACCTCACCTTCTGGTCCTCACAGAATAAGGGTAAACAGGTCAAGGTCCCAGAGAGAGGTGGGGGAACTCCTTGGTCTAATCCAGTACAATAAAGAAATGATCAGGGTGGCCCAAAGACTGGCTTCTCCAGAACCTCTTCCCATGACCCCACTGCTTTTCTTGCTGTGTTAACAATTTAAAAACGTAAGTAGATGGGGTCAGGGGTATAGCTCAGTGGTAGTGAGTTGGTGCAGTAGTAGTGATTTAGCCCAAGGCCTTGATTTAAATCTTCAGCACACAAAACAACAAAAGGTACAGAAAAAGGTAAGAGACGAATTTAACAGCCAAATATTATCAGACACTAATATTTTATCATATATGCCCAACTTTTTTTTTTTATTGTTGGTTGTGGGGCTTGAACTCTGGGCTTGGGCACTATCCTTCAGCTCTTCAGCTGAAGGTAGGCGAGCGCTCTACTGCTTAAGCCACAGTACCACTTCCGGTTTTCTATTGGTTTCTTTCTTTCTTTCTTTTTTTTTTTGGATCCGGTCATGGGGCCTGAACTCTAGGCCTGGGCGCTGTCCCTCAGCTCTTCAGCTCAAGGCTAGCGCTCTACCACTTGAGCCACAGCGCCACTTCCGGCTTCTTTCTTTTTGCTTACGTGGTGCTGAGGAATTGAACCCAGGGCCTCAGGCATGCAAGGCAAGCGTTCTACCACTGAGCCACCTTCCCAGCCCTCTATGGTTTCTTGGAGATAACAGTCTCACGGTCTTTCTTGCCTGGGCTGGCTTTGAACCAGGATTCTCAGATCTCAGCCTCCTGAGTAGCTAAGATTATAGGCGTGAGCCACTGGCACCCGGCTTATGCCCAAAGTTTTAGGGTACATTTTTTCTTTTTTTTTGGGGGGAAAATAGGGTGGGGCAGATACTGAAGGAATTTGAGCTTAGTACCCTGGACTTCCTAAAGAGGTGTTTTTACTATTCTGATTTTTTTTTTTTTTTGGTCAGTCCTGGGGCTTGAACCCAAGGCCTAGGTGCTGTCCCTGAACCTCTTTGTGCTCTACCATTTGAGCAAAAACACCACTTCTGGATTTTTCTGAGTAGTTTATTGGAGATAAGTCTCACAGTAGGGTGCTGGTGGCTCATGCCTGTAATCCTAGCTATTCAGGAGGCTGAGATCTGAGGATTGCAGTTCAAGGCCAGCCCAGTCAGGAAAGCTTGTGAGACTCTTATCTTCAATTAACCACCAGAAACCAGAAGTGGCACTGTGGCTCAAGTACAGCACTACACTAGCCTTGAGCTGAAGAGCTGAAGGACAATGTTCAAGGCTGAGGACCCAGAGTTCAAACAAACAAAAAAGAGTCTCATGGACTTTCCTGTCCAGGCGAGCTTCAAACCACGATCCTCAGATTTCAGCCTCCTGAGTAGCTAAGGGTTACAGGTATGAGCCACAGGCCAAACTATCCTGATTTTACTAATTATTTTTAAGATAGGGTTTCACTTCCTGCCTTGAGTGTGATCTGCCTCTGTTAGGCTTCTTGTAGCTAAGTCCAACTCTTAGTTAAGAAGTGGTTTCATTGCCTTTTTTTCTGCCCAGGCTGTTCTCAAATCATGATCCTGCCAATTTCAGCCTCTCAAGAAGCTAGGATTACAGGTGAGAGACACTGGGATCTGGCTGTTATTTTTTTTAAGATATAGGTTGAGCATCTCTAATGCAAAAAGCTGGAACTATTTTTTTCTCCCCTGGGACTTGAACTCAGAGCATGGGTGTTGTCCCTGAGTTTTTTTGCCCAAGGCTATCACTTGAGCCACAATTTCTTGGATTTTCTTGTTTGGGCTGGCTTTGAACTGCAATCCTTACATCTTAGCCTTCTAAGTAGCTAGGATTATAGATGTGAGCCACTGGTGCTGGCCAAAAAACAAAAATTCCCTGAGACTTTTTGAGTACATGATGCCAGAAGCAGAAAAGGTAAAGCCTAATTTCATGCTGGTGGGACAAAATGGACCAAATTACCCTCAAGGATTTTGTGTTTAGATTTGGGTCACATTGCCAAGAAAGCTAAATTATATACAGATATTCCAAAATCAGAATTAAACACCTCTACAAACCCATGAAATCCATTTTGCTTAAGAGGTATTTAAGCCACCAAATGGAAGATTCCTTCCCGTGCATAATGCTTCTGCTCTGCAAGGAATGTTGCCTTCTCCAGCCATGTTTTCTCTCAAGACACTACTATCTTAGGCTGGTCTCCTTATATTTCAGAAGGAAGTAAGGCCTTTCTGTGGGAAGTAAGCACTAACAGAGTGCTGCAGGTACATACCCCATTCATGGCGATGACAGTCCGTTGCCAGTCTCTGTCCTGTAGGGCCTGGGGGTCCAGCTGAAACCAAAGAGGCAGGATAAATAAAGGCCCTTGGGTCTGTTCAGAGGTCCTGCCTGGAAGGGGCCTGCATCTGCTACTACTCTATATCCTAATTCAGAAGTATAGTCCAACTGCAGGTAATACCTCTATCTAAAGGCCAAGAAGGGTTCAGAAAGGTGAGAAGGCTTGTTAGAAGACCCTAGATCCTTAGGACTCTGATGTTCCCAGATTTTGCTATCTGGATCTTAGCTCACAGTAGTCAGTATGTCAGCTCGGGGTCCTGCAATCTACTCCTTCACTTGTCCCCAATAGAGTCACATACCCACATCGTAAGTGCTGCAACATGCCTAGAAGAGGAGGAGCAGTTATAAAACCCACGTTTAGTAGCAACTTTCAGGGTGCGTGGTCTCCAAGAGTCATAGGGAATCTTGGAACTGGATACTGCTTCTTTGCTGTGCCATGGTTTGGCTTGTGGCAGGAAAAGCTTCCAGGCTAGGTTAATCCTATGGCTTACAGTCAGGGACCAACGAAGTCTGAGCCTGACCCCATATTATGCTGTGGGTAAAGGGAGTGGAAAGGAAGCTCCCACTGCAGCCCCTCTAATATCAATACCCACAGAACATGTCCAATAGTTGGTGTGCAGGAACCTGTTATTGAATGTCACCTAAATAAACAGTCTTCATGGCATGACCGTCACACGCCTCTGTACTGCGTCCCTTTGGTGAGCACTCTTCCTGTAAGCAGCAGTTGTAGGGTATGGACAAGACCACAGCCTGGCACACACCACACACTGCCTTGTGTTTTCATCACTTGTTCCGATGGTGGTGTTATTTCTACTAGACAAGCCACATGAGAGCAGAGACCACACCTCATGACTTCCATGCATGCACGGGCCCATCTGCATTCATACAACAGTGCTAAGCACAGGTCTGGGTCTAGAGAGGACTTCAGGAGAGACACCATATGTTTATCTGCTACAGGGAACATAAGAAGGTCCAGCTACCTGGATCTTCTGCAGGTGATGCAGGTGGGAAACAGACTTCAGGAGCTACCACCGCATCTCAGCAGTGTGTGCCTGAGCCTCTCTCCCTGTATCTAGCAAACAGGCACAGAGGCTCATCACAGATACTCCTCGGATGTGAACTCTCCTTATTTTCTCTCCAAGATCCTACTAGTTAACATTTCCCAAGAGTCTGAAATGTACCACCAGAATGACACAGACAAGAAGGTGGCAGAAGACGCCTTTGAGGGGTATGGGATCATAGATTCTCCTCTATCTGTCCCCAGAAGGTTCCAAGACCACTCTCCAGGATATGGGGACCCCTCCTTAGAGAGTCACATCATCCAGAAAAAGAACTCTCTCAAGGGGCACTCCCCCCAAAAAGTGAACTGTAGGCCTCCAGGCGAGGAACATAGCCCATCCCACATCCCAGGTCCTGGCCCACACCAGACTGGGCACGAGTGGAGGAGATGAGGAGCATGTACTCACTGGCCCACACCCTCAACGCCTATCCACATGGCCTCCATCCTTCTTCAGTAGCAAGAAACCCAGAAGCAAAGCAGGACAAATCCTTTCCTTCTCCACTGAAAGGCAATAGTCATGAGGCCCCTCTCCCTCAAATACCCAGGACGGCAAAAGTCATCCACAAACCAGCTCAAGTCTGGGTAGGCGAATCAGACAACTGGGCGACAGGGACCCTGCCCCTCCCAGCCCTCTTGCCAGCCCACCTTGCCCCTGCACACCAGGTCTCGGATGTGGGTCCACAGGGCAGTGCCTCGAGGACATAGATGCTTTTCAGTAGAGGCTACTCGGCTCCGGCCTGCCCGGCTGGGGTGGAAATACTGAAGGAAGCCCTGCATCGTGGTGGGGACAGATGGTGACTCTCGCATCCTCGCCTGGCCGCTCTGTCAGGTCCACAGGGCTGGGCAGGAGTACAGTGGCCAGCTCCCAGCCTTTGCTACCTTTTGAACAAGCTCTCAGGGAAGCTCCACGCCCACAGTCTGGCTAGCCAAGGTCAAAGTTTCCCATCACCCTTGCATTCCACTTTTTTTTTTTTTTTGTCTGTATATGGGAAAAACACTCCCTGCCCCCCATAGAAGCCTACTGGTTACGGGAATTCCAGTGTGTGTCTCCTCCTAAGTCCTAGCTTCCTTCTCAAGTGGCTGGTTTCCTGTGGTCCCAATTTGGAGACACTGACCAACATATGTGTGTAGTCAGTTCATTCTGGGCTGGGAGCAGCACTCTGGAGATTGCTTCAGGGCCTGCACCCCCACAAACAACAACTCCTATAATCACCCAGTACTTCCAATGGGCCCAGGGCAGAGAATGGCCTGCATGTGGTCCCGGTTCCCCTAAAGAAGCTGTCTTGACTCATGAGCAGCACTGCAGGGCTCCAGCTACCATCCATTCCCAAGCCATGATGCCCAGCACCTTGGCCTCGTGTTGCCAGGCTGACTCCTCACCAGGCCCCTATATGTGGCTTGCTGTGTTGGCCTCTTAGCATTCAGCATGAAAGCTCCAAAGATCCACTGGGATCCAGCAGGAAAGGCTGAAACTGGCTCTGCTCCAAAGAACAGTGTGTGCTTAGTACTGTGGAAGCTGCACAAAGAATAGCAGGACGATGAGGCCCAGGCCTCGGGCAGCCCAACCCCAACCAGCATTCAAAGCTGGCACGCTCTCTTGGGCAGTTATTTAAAGCACCAGAGAGATAAACAAGCAAGAGACTGGGATTTGGAAAAACTGATGAGTAGGAGGACTGGGAAATGACAGTCTGGGGAAAAACTGAAGCAGCACTGGGGGTGGTGTCAAGGGAGCACCTCTGGTCTTGGGTTTGGTGAGGATCTGCCTGCTGTTGTAGGAGGTGGAGGCTGGGCAGGTGAGCACTTGCATGTTCATATCCAGTGGGCTCAGGAGGGTCTGTATCACTGCTGGTCCCTCCAAGAGTTGGAAAATGGGGAAGGGAGAGAGGGAGGCTTTAAAGGAATTGTGGTTGATGGGCCTGATAGACAGTTGCCTGGAGGCTTGCCTAGAAAACTGCCGTGTGTGTGTGTGTGTGTGTGTGTGTGTGTGTGTGTGCGTGTGTTTAGATGTAGATGGTCCAGCAAGGCATCCCCAGTTGCCCTGTCTGGGGCTCCACGTGTTTGCATTGTTACTTACTTTCTGGGGTGGGTCTTTGCAAAGACTACCAGAGACCCTCTGTGCTCACTGTGAGAAACTTCTGGCCTCCTCAATGTGGTCTCTCCATTCTACCCTGCGACAATAACCAGTTTTGTTCATTTATCTTCTTCAGTACTGGGGCCTAAACCCAGGGCCTTATTAGGCTTACTATGCATTCTCATTCTAACACTTGAGCCACATCTCTAGCCCCAATCTTGTTCCCACACAGCTTCAACTCTGATTTCTGAGTCCTTAGCATCATTCAAAGAAATAAAAGGGCCAGAGGTGAAGGTTGTTTAACCTAGTGCAATATCCTCAGTACTCAACAACCCTCCCCCCCCAACAAAAAGATATATAAGAATTCCCACCTCCAAAGATGCTATACTAAGAAATATGGGCTGTGAATTTGTGCTGGAGAGGATGTGGAGAAATGGGAATATTCACATGGAATGAAAATGGAAAAAAAAACAGGATAGTTCCTCAAAGTCAACTTACTATACACAAAGCCAACATTTGTGCACACAAAGACTTATTCAAGCATGCATTTCCAGCAGCCTCAAGTCAATAGGCCCAAACTGGAAGCAACCCAATGTTAAGTCAACTGGTAAGTGAAGAACCAAAACTGGGGGGCATACAGTAGAGCATTACTCAGCCATTACTGATAATGCAGGGGAGAGCCTAAAAACATTAATAACTAAGCCAGGCACTGGTAGCGCACACCTCTAATCCTAGCTACTCAGGAGGCTGAAAGCTAAGGGTTGCAGTTCAAAACCAGCTCATGCTGGAAAGTCTGTGAGATTTATCTCCAATTAACCACCAGCAAACCAGAAGTGGAGATGTAGCTCAAAGTGGTAGAATGCTAGCCTTGAGTAAAAAAGCTCAGAGACAGTGCCCAGGCCCTGAGTTCAAGCCCTACAACTGACCAAAAAAAAAAAAAGAAAAGAAAAAGCAAGCATTACTAACTACAAAAGACCATTCCTGGTATGGTTCTACTTATATGAAAAATGCAGACTCAATCTTGGCATTGGTGCCTCATACCTGTAATCCTAAAATTTGGAAGATTATGGTTCAAAGCCTGCCCAAGTGACCTCATCTCCAATTAACCGGCGAAAAGCTGGGTTGGAGGTATGAATCAAGGAGAGTGCTAGCTGAGAAGGAAAGCCAAGCAAGCATGAGTCCCTGAGTTAAACCCCAGAACTTGGGGGGGGGTTGAGGGAGGGACGGGAAATGTACAGAATCAATCTGATGTCTTGGAGAGCAATAGACATGAAAACTCTGAAGACATGACACCAGTGGAAAAAAAAAGAGAAAACAAAGTTCTATGACTTGATACAAAGTTATCCCTAAAGACACTGTGAGAATTTAACAACAGAAAATTTGTGAGTAGAAAGGAGAGAAGGAAAAAAAACTGAAGGGGAAACCTCCTAACAGCTTAGAGGCTCCAAGTGCTTTGGGCTTTGCTGGCTCTGGTGATTTTCTTGGATACTGCTCTTGGCTCAAGGGAACTAACAGTAAGCCTTGTTCCTGCCCTAGCTATACCAGGTTGGACTGCAGAGTGGCCACCTCTGATCTGAAGTGTGAAACCTCCTCTGGCTCTAGTATGCCTTGTGTATTCCCACAAATTTTGTTGGCCTTAGAGCAAAGATGTTAATGTTTTCATCCCGGAACCTCTCCCTGAAGACAGAGACTCAATGTACCCCCTTTATCAATGTCTACCTGTGCTCTGACATTGCCTGCAAGTAACCGTACCATCTGAACCATCTGCCCCTGTGGCAGGCCTGGCCTCTCAGTTTCTCAGCTCTGGACCATGAGGTCTGGCGTGCAGCAGATCTATCATGAGGGCCAGCACTGGGCTTGGCTT